TTCTTTCTTTCTTTCTTTCTTTCTTTCTTTCTTTCTTCTTTCTTTCTTTCTTTCTTCTTTCTTTCTTTCTTTCTTCTTTCTTTCTTTCTTTCTTCTTTCTTTCTTTCTTTCTTCTTTCTTTCTTTCTTTCTTCTTTCTTTCTTTCTTTCTTCTTTCTTTCTTTCTTTCTTCTTTCTTTCTTTCTTTCTTCTTTCTTTCTTTCTTTCTTCTTTCTTTCTTTCTTTCTTCTTTCTTTCTTTCTTTCTTCTTTCTTTCTTTCTTTCTTCTTTCTTTCTCACTTTCTCTTTCTTTCTTTCTTTTCTTTCTTTCTTTCTTCATTTATTTTTATTTCTTTACTAGAGACCCATTGCACGAATTCGTGCACCTGCAATGCATTATTTCTTTCTCTCTTTCTTCTTTCTTTCTTTCTTTCTTTCTTTCTTTCTTTCTTTCTTCCTTTCCTTCTTCTTTGACAACCCCCGAGGGGTCCCGGATTGCGAGAGGGCGCAGGCCAGGCGGAAGGACCCCACCGGTGCACGATCGGGGCCGGGGAGGGACCGTGAGAGGGCTCCAGGGCATGTCCGGCCTGTCTCGCTGAGGTCGACCCCTTCCAACTCTCCCATCCACACTCGTCTTGTAGACTTGTTTCATCCATCCCCTTTCGTTCATCCTCTCTCTATGTCCCAACCATCTCAACATACTATTCTCCATCCTCGACACTACATCTTCTCTCACTCCACAACGTTCCCTAAAATTAACTTCATAAAGTTTTATGTCAATTTCGCACTGTACGTGCGCGCCCGCACGCGGTACTTTGCGGAAGAGTCACACTCAAGGGGCCAAAGAGCCGCACGTGGCTCGCGAGCCACGGTTTGCCGACCACCGGTCTAGGGCAAACAAACAAACCTGGATGGTCCCTACACACTGTGCTCAACGGATTTGAGGCCAGACAGGAAGGCACAGAGGCAGGGGGAGTGAGGGGTTAGTTCCTAACAGAGACGCACGCCAGGTGGGACGGCCGTCAACCCAGCCTTTGCCCCTCACTCACACCCCGTCTCCCTTCTTCTCTGTCGCAGGGATCCTCAAATGCAAGAAAGACAAGGCCTACGAGGGCGGCCAGCTCTGCGCCACCTGCTCCAGCCCCACCGCGTTGCGCGGACGCGAGATCCACGCCCTCGGGGGCATCCCCTGTGCGAGACCGTCCATCGTGTCCCCTCTGAGGCCCAACGCGACCCTCAGCAGTGCCGAGGAGGAGCCGGACGAAGACGAGGAGG